CATTATGTATTCCAATTTTCTATCAATCGGTGTTTGAAATCTTTTTATAAATTTCATTAGTTTTAGACGTTTAGTCATTTTGGAAAATCAATATTCACAACTATCACAATCCTTTATTTGTTTGTCTTTTATCAAATAGGAGTTAGGAAAAGTAGATTAAGACTAAAGTAAAGTCCTCATGGGAACGATAATCTAGACTCAAATATCCACTATATTATTTGTTACGATATCGTACACCTGCGATAGACAAAACGCAACAAAAAGGCAGATGCTTGAGAGCTTATCGAAAGGTTGACAGGGCGAAGTATGATGGCGTGAGTGGTGTCAGAGAGTACATCATGAAAATGGTTGACATAACCTCTAAGGTGTTTGAACTCAAAATCCCTATTGATGAATCTTTCTTGTGCATTATGCTCTTTATACTCTACCTTCACTAGGGTGAATATAGTTTCGTTTGGTTCTTATTCTAAGAGAATCGAATCTAACTATGAATCAATGATTTTTTTAATAATGAAATCAAATGATTTTCTTAAGATATGGAATCAAATCGAACCGAACTGAATCGTTCGATTCTGGTTTGGTTTAATTCTAGTTTCATTTTTTTAAATTTCCAGACTTGCACCAAATCCATCAGTTAGTAATATAAATTTAGATAAAAAAAAATAAATATCAAACATCCGGCAAGTTCAACTTATGATCATCAAAATTACAAAAGGTCAAACTAACAAACAAAATATAGTTATAATTTGAATGTACGAATCAATTTTATTCACATACACAAGATTGTTTAATAAGTAATAACAATGATTCACTAAATTAATTGCTGCAATTTTGACGACACACCCCCACAATAAATGATGAATTATACAAAACTTTTACATCCACTTTTACAATCAATCATTAACTGTTTAATATTCCATGAATGTTTATTGAATTTTTCTCTACTTATTTGTGAAGAGCACAAATGATTCATTAAAAAATCAAGGTAAAAAATAGTTTAAATATTTTTTAAGTGATCGACCAATTTCAATTTTCAATCTTGAAAGAGTCTTCTCAATCGACGTGATGAAATGCGGTGCCAACGCGCCACGACGTTGTATAAATTAAAAATGAGTGAAGGAGAAATGATTTAAATGAATACAAAATTAGGGTATACACAAATAATGAGCTGTATCCAATGACCCAAAATCGATTAATGGGTCGTACTCAATTAATGGACCATCTCCGATGAACACAAAATTAGAGTTTCCACT